ACACACATTAGTAACTTTGCTTTTCATTTATTAAAGGATGTGATACTACATCATAAACTACTGGGCTGATAAACTGATGAAGATCACACATTATTAAACTCAAGTGACCAGTCAGTAATAAAATAAGCACAAATTACAGCAGAGATGAACAGTTGCAGTCTAACAGTGGATGTTATGAACATTAATGGCAGGAATATGAGGCTGCCGTCACTGTAAGAGCGACTGACACACATCCGGTGTCTTCCTGTTCACTGATGACAGGACCGAGAGAACTCTTGCTCACACACACACGCTTCGGTGCTAGTTTAGGCTACACATGTCGTCATACACGCTTAAACTGTGTGTGTGTGTGTCTTTTAGGACATGGAGAACAAGATCCGCTCTACTCTCAATGAGATTTACTTCGGCAAGACCAAGGACATCGTGAACGGCCTGAGGTACGACACACACTCGACCCGCGCGACACACACGCGTACAGTTGTACTCGACTCATGAATCCGCGTCGTTACCATAGACTGTAAAAAATATGGACAAAGCGTCTGTGACGTCACCCATAGACTTTCTGAAGAACGGTTTGAGGCCGTTTATGGGGGGTATGGGCGGAGCCATCTTTTGAAAATCTTGGGAAATCCAAACCCCGCCCACCTTCTGGCCAATCCATATATGGGTAAAAGGGCGGGCTTTGTGTGAGACTGAGCCGGCCGGTGGACACGCCTCTTCAGCCGAGCCTCAGCTATCTGTACCGCTACAGGATCGACTGCAGACTAGGCTACTCTTCACAGCCCGTGTCATTCTCATGTAGAAACTCCTTTTCCTCGGTTTACTGAAGCCTGAATGTAAAACGCATTTGCAGCTGCAGCCACTCATAGGCTGTGCTGCGGCAACTGGACATCCAATGGCGCGGGCGCCTCTGACGTGCGACCAACTAGCTGCAGATCAGTCTATTCTTATGTTACATTTATTCATTTGGCAGACGCATTTACAGTGTTTCAAACGTCAGTTATAACCATAGGTAAAGTACCTCGGACGCTAACTTATCTGAGGCGATTTAATGCTAACTGTTGCAGTGCCACTGCCCACAAACACTGATGCTAAATACTGCTAACTACGTGAAATAGTAGTGGAATGTCACTTACCGGGAAAAAAAGAAGCGAAGTACTCGTTTTTTTTAATAGTGTTGATGTTAGTCATGGATAATAACCTGATTCAGAGTCATTAGCTGAATGAACTGGTTCAGAAGAGTCGTTTGGTTGTGAATCAGTGTGTGAGGACCGAAGAGATGTCCGTGTTTTCCTTCTACGGATCAGAACATCTACATTTTTACCCACGGTTTTCAAATGAACTTCCACAAAAGTTTTGGGTTTTTTAAAGTCATTTACTCCATGTTACAAAAAAAAAAAGTGTTTCTGATTCATTTTTCTGGTCGCAAATGGATTCATTAAAAATGACAGATTCATTACAGATTCATCATCTCTTCCTGCTGAGGTTTCCTCATATTTCTCCTCTGTTTTTCATTCCTCTGTGTCTCTGTCTGTCTCTTCACCTCTCTCTCTCTCTCTCTCTCTCTCTCTCTCTCTCTCTCTCTCTCTCTCTCTCTCTCTCTCTCTCTCTCTCTCTCTCTCTCTCTCTCTCTCTCTCTCTCTCTCTCTCTCTCTCTCTCTCTCTCTGTCTCTCTCTCTCTGTCTCTCTCTCTCTCTCTCCCTCTCTCTCTGTGTCTCTCTATCATTGTGTCGATGGGCTCCAGATCTATCGAGTCTCTTCCTGATAATCAAAAGTACCGTCAGTTGCAGCGGGAGCTCTCTCAGGTTCTGACCCAGCGTCAGATCTACATTGACTAGGGTCAGAGGCGTGTGTGTGTGTGTGTGTGTGTGTGTGCCTGCACGACCTCCTTAACAAACACACTAACTGCATGCAGGTGCATTCTGGGTACAGCTCACCAACATTAATGTGTGAGAAGTATGGTCAGGAATTGGATCCTTGTTATTAAATAACTCTTGTGGATTCCTGTGTGTATTTCAACATGAGTGTGAAGCGTTCGAGCGCGAGTTCTTCTATGGTGTGTTTAAACCTCAGGCAAACGCTGCTTGTGTAAGTGTTCTTCAGCTGATGATTTCTGCTCATGATATTCAGCTGCAGTTTCAGCTTTAGCAATAACACTAGATGTGTACGATGGCTGAGCTTTATTTTTACCTTATTGGAACCGTTAAAATTCAAGCGATAGCGAACGCTAGTCCCGTTACACTCATGCAGATTCATGCGGGTGATTCAGTTTGCAAGTCGTTTAAGTGTGTGTGTGTGTTCCTGTCTAACGTGTGTGTGTGTGTGTTTCAGGAGCGTCCAGACGCTGGCGGATAAGTCGAAGCAGGATGCTCTGAAGAACGACCTGATGATCGCGCTTAGCCAACGCAAACAGCAAAGCTAGAGACCATCTCTCTCTCTCTCTCTCTCTCTCTCTCTCTGTCTCTCCACCTCACTTCTCTCTCTCTCTCTCCGTCTGTGGAAAACAAATGAAAAAGGAGAAAAGGCTTTTTGTTTTTTGTTCAATGCACCTGTCTCTCTCTCTCTCTCTGTCTGTCTGTCTCTGGTCTGTAATCATGTAGTATTAAAACAGTGCTGGTTGTTTCTGTCTGATTGATGACATCACCGTGGGGGCGGAGCTTTTCTCCCGCCAATCAGAAGAACACGTTTTCCAGGAGAGGCGGGATATATATATAAATATATATAAATATACACACATGTATGTATTATGACCTTTATCATTAATATTGATTTTGCTGTTAATATTAAACGTTTTGTTTGAATCCACACAGATGAGTGTGAGTGTGTGTATGTGTGTGTGTGTGTGTGTGTGTGTGTGTGTGTGTGTGTGTGTTGAATCTCTGTGTCATTAACAAAAGCAGCAAATATATTCCTCCCGTCTCTCTCTCTGTCCATCTGGAGGCGTCAGACGGTTTCCTTGTTTTCTTCAGGGTGGATTATTATTATGTCAAGTTTACTTTTTTCTTTTGGTCTTTTTTTGTTTGTTTTTTGTAAAGCTTAGTTTGTTGTTTTAGGGCCTCCAGCTGCAATAAAAACAGTAAAAACTAACTGTGTGTTATGTTTGTTTAAAACGTTTAACTGTAAAATTCTGGTAAACATACACAAGTTGCTTTGGTGCTCGACAATCATTTACTCGTGTCTCTTTCTCACATAATAAAGTCCATTACACGCTAATCAATATTTCATCAGCATACATTCATTTGTAATAGGCCGGATAATATCGGCCGTTATCACTGATTATACACGCATCTCTCATCTTCTCTGGTGATTAATTAATCATATCTTAATGAAATTAATAATCACAGTAAATCTGTGTTTGGTGAGGGAGACCTTTTCAGTCATGTTAAGACATCTTTAGCTCTCTACAAATGCCAGCTGTTGTTTAAACTGTATTTTTTTATACAAATTTTGACACTAGTACTTTTATATTTATTCTTACTCGTTTTTTTCTTCTGATAACTCTCGTTATTTCTTTTTTGGACGACATTTAATCCTCAGGAAAAAGGAGCGCGAATCTTCTCCGAGCCGTTGCTGGGCAGATTAGAATATTATTTTATAAACATGTTTAAACTTTAGGTCGAGATACGTGTCGTAAAATGTTAATCAAACGATTTGACCCCATGTAAATCATATTGAGAGTAGAGTTAAGCAGCCATTATCTGCAATGAAAAGGTTCATTAGATCACGTAACTGTTATTAGTACATATGCTTCGTTTTCTTCGGACTTTTCTTTTCCCGCTTCACATCATCGGCAGAACAGCGCCCTCTATCGACGGTCCAATACAAACAGTTCACAGGGCACGTGCTGCTATTGATTTAAACGAGTCAGGGCAGTAAATGTAAATATTTAACGCATTTGTAGGTATTTAAATATTATTATGTACCACAGAAACACACTCGTTATTTCAAGATAATAGATTTGACTTATCTGTGAGGTAAAACGGAATAAATGCGCATGCGCTGACATGTTCGGGACAGCAGGAGGCGCCAAGATGACATCAAACATTTCTGGTGGAAAATAATTCATAAAATATTATTATAACAACTCAGGAGCTCTGTTAATGCACCAGTCACACAAACACACACCAAACTCCCACGCGGAGAAGTGAGAGCTTTTCCCGACTCATTTCACTGATATTTAAAATGTGTTTGTTTGTTTGTTTAGCCGTCGGTTGCATTTCTGTTTCAATTTAAAATTGAGGACATAGCTATTTATTTTTATATTTTGTTCAATGATGTACAAATAACCTAACCAAATCATCAGTCACACAATCGTCAGGTTTTTTGTTTGTTTGTATTATTAGCCTATTAGTATTTGGCGGTTTATTAGAACGTTCAGAACGTCCATTTTTACCGTTTAAACTTTTTTCTTGGTTTGGCGAACGTTAACATTCCGTTTTATCATTTTGCAATCATTATAGGAAACCAAGAACGTTCTGAAACAAGCAGTAACGGTAAAAAAAAAAAAAAAAAATAGACAAACGTTCCAATAATGAAATGTTTTATTGATAACTGAACGAACTAGTTCTAGCGCTTTGGGTAGGCCAATAAGAAAAGCGCGATATAAAATGTATTATTATTATTAACGTTCGATTAACGTTGCTAGAAGAACGTTTCTTCATACTTTGACAAAACGTTCCCTGTTAGCTTGATATAACTATTATTTGCATCTTTATAGCCTTTCTGGAACTTGCCAGTTGTGTATTTGTATTAGTGCACTGTTATTAAATAGTAATACAACAACTTTAACGCTCTTTCGACGATGAAGTCTAATACAATTCTATATTCAGTAAAATGACTTGATTTTCCTCTCCAGAGCAGATCTTCTGAATAGCATCGGCAGGGTGTCTTGGGGCAATTGCCCTTTTAAGATATTGCCCCCACTGCCCCCCCACCCTCCCTCTCTCTCTCTGTTTCTCCCTCTCCATCCCTCTCCCGACGCCCTGAATCAGGTTTATGTTAATGATCCCCCTCCCCGAATTCACTGGAGGTGTGTGTGTGTGTGTGTGTGTGACCGCAGTGCGTGGATCAGCATGGAGACTCCACACGCCAACTTTGAAGGGAAAAACTGGATGTAATTCATTCTCCGTGGAAGAGCAGCAGCGAGGAGCGATGAAGTGGGATTTGTTGCTCATTGTTTTCGGGTGGTTTGAACTCCCGTGGCTCGTGGATTGTTTCGATGTGCACGTGAGTGAGGATGCGGGACCGGGCACCGCGATCGCGATCACCGGCTCCTGCGCGCTGGACCAGCTCATCGTTCCCCGGTTCGCGGAGAGTTTCCTTCACCGGGACGCGGGAGTGCTCACTTTCTCCGGCGCTTTGAACTGCGAATCGGTTCTTTCGAACCCGTTCACTGTGTACGCGATCATGGACTGTGCGGAGAACAACGCGTCTGGGTTTAGACACCTTTTAACCAGCCGGTATAATGTGCACGTTCACGGGAAAAACTGCGCGTTTAGGCGCAAACGCGAAAAAGAACTAGACGTGGAGATTATAAGTTTAATAGATGCTTCAGAGTGCCATGAGGCGGGCACCGCTGTTTTCCGTGTGTTTGATGTGTTACCGGGCAACCCGACGCAGTGTAACGTAACCGGGACTTCAGCGCTTTACGTCTCCGAGGGTCGTTTGTTTACTTCGGCTCCGCTGTGTTTCCCTCGCGACTCTATGCTGGAGTTTCAACTACGCTGCGTGGGACGCGCACGCACGGGTGTCGCGCATGCGCACTGGCGCGTGGGTCGTGGTCCGTTCACTCAAACACACCTGAGGACGTTACTTAAACGGGCCGCGCGCTCAAACTCAGGGCTTCTGAGCAGGAGGAGAAGGAACGTAAACAATAACCCTCAGTTTCAACCTCCCATGTATCAAGTGTCCATTCCAGAAAATCAACCATCCGGGACTTTTGTTGTTGTTTTAAAAGCATTTGACCCGGATGAGGGTGAAGCAGGCAGGCTGGAATACTTCTTAGAGGCCTTGTTTGATAGTCGTTCCAACAATCTTTTCGCCGTTGACCCAGCGAGCGGCATCGTTTCCACCGTGGAGATACTAGATAGAGAAACGAAGGACACGCATGTGTTCAGAGTCACGGCTGTGGATCACGGAACGCCACGTCGCACTGCCATGGCGACGCTCACCGTAACGGTTAGCGATACGAACGATCACGACCCCGTCTTCGAGCAGGAGGACTATAAAGAAAGCGTGCGAGAAAATCTTGAAATCGGTTATGAGGTCCTGACTGTACGTGCCACGGATGGCGACGCTCCCGTCAACGGAAACATCCTTTATCATTTGCTAAACAATGGGACTAACGACGTGTTCGAGATCGATTCCCGCTCCGGCGTTATTCGCACACGAGGTCTAGTCGACCGCGAAACTGTCGAATCCTACATGCTACTGGTTGAAGCGAACGATCAAGGTCGTGACCCCGGGCCTCGCAGCGCTACGGCAACCGTGTGCATCGTCGTGGAGGACGATAACGACAACGCACCGCAGTTTAGCGAGAAACGCTACGTCGTTCAAGTTCCCGAAGACTTGACGCCAAACACGGAAATCCTGCAGGTTACGGCGACCGACCAGGACCGCGGGAACAACGCCGTGGTCCATTTTAGCATCATGAGTGGAAACACTCGAGGCCAGTTCTACATCGACGCTCAGACGGGGAAATTAGACCTTGTGAGTCAGCTTGATTACGAGATCAATAAAGAGTACATGCTTCGCATTCGAGCGCAAGATGGTGGACGCCCGCCACTCTCCAACATCAGCGGCCTCGTCACGGTGCAAGTGCTTGACGTTAACGACAACGCTCCGATATTCGTCAGCACTCCGTTCCAGGCTACGGTCCTAGAGAACGTTCCCGTCGGATACTCTGTCATTCACATTCAAGCTATAGACGCCGATGCTGGCGATAACTCCCGTTTGGAATACCGTCTCACAGAGACCACGCCAAACTTCCCATTCGCCGTCAACAACAGCACAGGCTGGATTATCGTAGCATCCGAGTTGGATAGAGAAAGCGTGGACTTTTATAACTTCGGAGTGGAGGCGCACGACCACGGAACGCCAGCTATGTCTTCCTCCGCTAGCATTAGCATGACTATTCTAGACGTCAACGACAACAACCCTGAGTTCACGCAGAAGGCGTATTACATGCGCTTAAACGAGGACGCGGCCGTAGGAACGAGTGTCGTAACCGTGTCCGCCGTTGATCAGGATATCAACAGCGTAGTGACGTATCAGATCTCAAGCGGAAACACCAGAAACCGTTTCTCCATTACTAGCCAAAGCGGCGGAGGCTTAATAACGCTTGCGCTACCGCTAGACTACAAGCTGGAGCGACAGTACGTGCTAACCGTCACGGCGTCAGACGGCACACGCTTCGACACAGGGAAGGTTTACGTCAATGTCACAGATGCTAACACTCATAGACCAGTCTTCCAGAGCTCACATTACACTGTCAACATCAACGAGGACCGGGGCGTCGGCACAACAGTGGTGATGATCAGCGCAACGGACGAGGATACGGGCGAAAACGCTCGGATTACGTACTTCATGGACGATAGCATCCCTCAGTTTCACATCGATGCGGACAGCGGAGCCGTAACCACACAGATGGAGCTGGACTACGAGGATCAAGTTTCGTACACGCTCGCCATCACGGCCCGAGACAACGGCATCCCACAGAAATCCGACACTACTTACCTTGAGATCCTTGTGAACGACGTGAACGACAACTCGCCTGTGTTCCTGCGGGATCGTTATTTAGGCTCCGTCACGGAAGACATTCCCGTGTTCTCCAGCGTTTTGCAGGTCTCCGCGACCGACCGCGACTCAGGCCTCAACGGGCGAGTCTTCTACACGTTCCAGGGCGGAGAGGACGGCGACGGCGACTTCATCATCGAGTCCACGTCGGGGATCGTCCGTACGCAACGACGGCTTGACCGAGAAAACACGCCTATCTATAACCTCCAAGCGTTTGCGGTTGATAAAGGAGTTCCGGCGCTCAAAACGCCGGTTGACATTCAAGTAACCGTTTTGGATGTGAACGATAACCCGCCTGTGTTCGAGAAAGATGAGTTTGATATCTTCGTGGAGGAGAACAGTCCCATCGGGCTTGTTGTGGCTCACATATCCGCGTCAGACCCGGACGAAGGCAGCAACGCTCAAATCATGTACCAAATCGTCGAAGGCAACATTCCCGAGATCTTCCAACTGGACATCTTCTCCGGAGAGCTCACCGCTCTGACCGACCTCGACTACGAGACTCGTTCGGAATACGTTATCGTGGTTCAGGCCACATCCGCTCCGCTAGTCAGCAGAGCCACGGTCCACATCAAACTCGTCGACAGGAACGACAACATCCCCGTCCTCAAGAACTTCCAGATTATTTTTAACAATTACGTCACCGATAAGACCAGCAGCTTCCCTTCGGGAGCGATCGGGCGGATCCCGGCGCACGACCCGGATGTCTCGGATCAGCTCCACTACAGCTTCGAGGCGGGAAACGAGCTGAATTTAGTGATTCTGAACCGGAGCACCGGAGAGATCCGACTCAGCCGAGCCCTGGACAACAACAGACCGCTGGAGGCGTCCATGAAGATCTCAGTCTCAGGTAAGAAGCGGTTTCTTTCAGTTCTACACAGGGGCTTTGGCACCGGGTAGTTCTAGGAACTCAGTTCTAGGAACCAGCCACCAGGGTGTTGACCCGAGAACTAATGGTTCTCTTAGGAACGTTTACTTGGTTGCGTTCGCAGCGCCTGTAGGAACTCTGAAGTGACGTAAGCCGCGCTTGTTGCTGTGACTTTTTATTTTGACAGCACTTAGAAAGGACACATAGAACACATACACATAATATACATAGAAAGTAGACAGCGATGAAGAGTTATTAGCGTATGGCGTGTTTGATGTCCAGTGTTGCTGAGCAGAAATACATAATCATGTTTCTCTCGGTCTCCTCAAAGCCGTGTTGGATTTTCTCCTCAGCGTAAAGATTAAGAGCTTCATCTATCACTGTTTTACATGTTCGGAATTAGTTTCTGGAGTAAATATATTAGGGGCTTTCGCACCGGAGGAACCTTCTCACAGCTCCTAGAACTATTGGCGGGAGTTCCCGGAGTTTGGCGTGTTCGCACCGCAGGAACTAGGAACGATTTTAGTTCTAGGAACTCCTTTTGGAGGAACTAATTTACTCCTACTTCAGAGTCGGTCTAGACCAGCGCTATAGGAACTACAGTGACGTTAGCGTTCGCTGATTGGCCGAACGCACGCCAAACACCAGAACCCGCCATTAAAAAAAAAAGCTAAACACACAGATTATAGCCTATATATTTACTCCAGAAACATGTAAAACAGTGATAGATGAAGCTCTTAATCTTTACTCTGAGGAGAAAATCCAACACAACTTTGAGACCAAGAGAAACTTGATTATGTATTTCTGCTCAGCAACACTGGACATCATTCATACGGCATATGCTTAACTTTTCATTACTGTCAGTAACTCCACAACAACTACATAAATATCTCCACTAACATTCAGAAACGTCTAAAAGTTTTTAACCTCTCCGTAAGGCTGCACTCGCTGCTGTTACTCCTGATTCTGGATCAGTGAGATTGGCCTGTGTTGTTATTGCCGGAGTCTCTGAAGCTCGTGTGAAGGCTCCGCCCTCTTCTGAACGGAGGCGGAGCTACAGCTCATTTGCATTTAAAGGGACACTCACAAAAACGGCGCATTTTTGCTCACACCCAAAAAGGGCAAATTTGACAAGCTGTAATAAATGATCTGGGGGTATTTTGAGCTGAAATTTCACACACATTCTGGGGACACCATAGATTTATATTACATCTTGTGAAAAGGGGCATAATATGTCGAAGTCGATACTTTTTGACAACTCTACATGTGCTTCTCCAGCAGTTTTGTGTGAGGCTTGCGTGACATGTGCTGATGTTTAATACATGACCTCTGCTGGGT